TCAGTTAGCTCAATTGTCACAAGTGTTTTACATAGAGTCAGGTTAATATTCTGCATCGCAGCATAGAATGCATTTTGGATCAAGTTGCTGGTTTTGCATATCTCAATGTCACTCCCGCATCACACACAGCAGAGCATTCCTTGATTCCTTATCCCTTTTTGAGCCGAAACTGCGGAAGCGACAATTAAGCAGAAATATTAAACATAAAACCTCCAGTCATCAATCCTCAAAGTAGATAGACTTGCCACCGTCGGGATTTCTAGCACCCTCTCCCATCTCTCCCAGTTCCATAACAACCTCCTCATTGTCTACATTTCTTTCAACATTCCTGTTTGCGTCCCATGAGACAGTCACAGGAAGTCCACAGCAGAATCTTCGGTTAAAGAGCGAATCTGGAACTATATGATATGCCACGATTCCTGCATCAGAGTTTCAAGTTTCATAGTCTGTCCTGCTCAGTAATTTGTGACTCCAAATGTTAATCCTATGCGAAGGCACAATTTCTCTATCAAGATTGAGCTTCGCGCGCATATACAGGTGCCTTGCTTCTGTCGTTTGGATCGCTCTGCCGTGGGGCTCTTGCATTTCCTCTTCCTAGACTGGAGTGGGCAGACCCATGAGTCTCTGTTTTTCCCATGCTTATTGATCTTGAGTTGGGGCCTGAGGAAATTACCTTGGCCTTCCAGCTGCCGACGAGTCAAGTCGTCTGTAGTGCTGCTGACGTTTTTCTCGGTGGCCTCCATGGACTTGGGACTCGAAAATCATACCTAGCAGTCACGTCGGCGGCATTTTGGGCTCTGATATATTGAATCGACGCCCGCACAGCGCTATTCCTGACTAAGCAGCAGCTTCGCTGTGGTGCTGGTGTACCCCCGCTCCGTTCTTTGAAGTCCTTCGATAACCGGACCTCGACGCTCACATCCTCTACCTTCAACGCGACTCTTCTCGTAGCGGTTGGGCGGATCGTGTCCGCCGGACATAGATCACATTTGGCCCCTCGAGACCTCGAGTAATTTGAAGATTATAGATGTTTCAATGGTTGAATGTTGGTCTTGGGTACAGTCCTCAGTCGGATTTGTCATCCCTCAAAACAAATAACTCGTTCTTGTCCAAGCCCGGAATCCGGGGCATAAGACACACAATAAAATACATAACACTAGAGACTTTTCTCAGCTGAACACTGGCCTTGAGGCCATAACCATGTCCCAAGTTTAGCAGGTGTTCAGGTCTCAGGTCGGGATCGGAACGCATTAGGGTCTCGTCCGCCTGGTAGTGAGAGTATTGGCGTGCTAGATCTCGAATCTCGCTGTCATGAACGAGGCGGCACCAAGGGTGAACCCGCTGATCTTCGCTTCCCCAACTGCGCCCAAGTAGCAGTGACATAAAAGGGCGTCGGCCAATTAGAGGATATATACGCAGAAACGGCTCCGTAAGCTGGAGGATAAAAAGTCCTTCAATGCCGGGGCAGCTGTGAGAACATCTTAATTGGCAGGAAGCCTCATCCCACCTGTCTGGAGGGTAGACTTGATCAACCCGGGCGGAAAACCCTCGAGCTTGGAGACTCACGATCCAAAAGTCTACACCAAAGTATTGCTGTACACTCGCAGGAGGGGGTCCGTGGGTGATTGTAATCTGCCTCTTCTCCCAGTGACAAGCATCCTCCCGGCGACGACCATCGCCGCCTAGAAATTAGCATTGTTACTTACAAAACTGCATAGAAATATCATACCTGATGTATTCTGGTAAACCGGACGTTGTGGCTGCATTGGATCGAGTCCAAGTACATGGGAGCCGTCCAGTAGATCACTGGCGGTTATTGATGCATATGGTGTGCATCTTATCTCTCCTTGCATGAATATGCGGTAGTAGGCACGCTGAGAACCTGTCTCATGCTGTGATAACTCTCTTAACCTAATGGTCGGGAATGTTCCAGGCACGTCACCAACTTGGCAATCCAAAATCGCCTCGACACCGCCAGGACAATCCTCTGTACTGCCGTACGCAGGATCGACGTATGGGAAAGGTCTCAACGTTAGCTCCAGAGAAATCCCTTGGCTTGTGATGGTCATTGGGTTTCGACCGATCGGGTGAGATGGGCGTGCTGATATAGCGCCGGATTCGAGAAAGCTTTCTGGGGATGACGCAAGGACATCCATACTCCCTATTCCATGGCGGCTAGAATACCATGCGAAGATTGACTGGTCATCGTTCGTGCGAATTATCTCCTGTTGAAGCCGGCGGAAAGCCTTTCTCCCTTCACCATATATCAGAGGCATATTGACATCAAACAGACCCATCAAGCAGTAGGCCTCATCCTCGACACGTGTTGTATTACGACCAGCTGCCCAATACATGCGTCTTGCCACGCTGATCTCCCTTAGGTAACCGCCTAGTAGTATGCCGATGTCAATGCCGGTTTTCTTTGAAATCAGCATTGAATGGGCCTTCTTACTTCCCAGAGGCTGCCACCCGTCGGAGTAGAATTCGAGGCTAGTAGGTGCAATTAGCTCCTGTAAAGTCCAACCACGTGTAAACCATAGACTTGACGTAAGGTCTCCATTATGCAAGACGT